TCTACTGTCTCCTAACAACTCTCCTACTTTCTTTACCCACTTTCAGTTCTTCTAATGATTCTTATCATGTCCAGCTTAATTAACGATTTCCCACAAGACAATATATCAAATACCTTTAAGATAGAATAGTTCTACCCATTCTCCTTGCCCAAAAATATCACTGAATATATCAAAAATGGTCTTTTGTTAATCCGAGATAATTGACCTTTGATTAAAAAGGTGTGACATTTCATTCCATTTACCTCCACGCTCTTTATTACTCTCTCCATTACATTTTCTTTTAAAGCCTACTGAGAGCACAGCAAAAGATACTTAGATGTCTGGATCTGTTTTTGCATCTTTCTAAAATACCTTTGCTACCTACATTTATGCCTCTGTCTAACACATCTTCTATCAGCAATTTCATGTACCATATCTTTCAGACCTCTCAGTTCAAGATCAGCCAGTCTACAGCCATTTGTCTCCTTCTTCTCTGTGCTAAATTTACTATCTTTCTCCCCCTGGCCACTTAGCCAAGCCCAGCTGCTGATAGATGCACCAGAGAAAATGGGTTTGTTTGGTTACAGGACTGAATCTAGATAGTCTCTCACCTTTACCTTGCCCTTACTGCACAGTGGCTGCATTACTTGATTTTCCAGGCTCTCTTGGTGGTTTAGACTGCTGGAAAACTCTGGGAGATCTAACATGCCCAGACTAGGAGACAAAATAAGGTTCAGAAACAAATGTGATCATTTGAGTTTCTGTAATACTCATACAGTAGAACTTTTCTTCTTACCAAAGTGAATACAATTCCTTGCATACAACTGAGTTTGCTATTTAGCAAAGCAGCTCATCCATTTATTTTGCAAGGCCTTGTTAGGGTTTTTTTTTAACATATGCATTTTATCACAAATAATAGGGAACACCACCACTGACAGAATTAATAGCTATTTAGAAGATTTTACATACTATGGGAAAGTCTTCTCAGAATGCAAAAGAAGCAATAAAAATACCTGAAGCGTGCTGGGGGTGCTATCTCAGTGTATTTGGCAGAAGACACCCTTGTGCTGTTTCCCAAGAGTTTGTAAACCATTAATGCAGGACATAATTGAAGAAATCATTGAAATTCAAAGTGGAATCTCACACACACACACAATATTGCAACCTGCTCTAGGGAAGTATTAATGTACAAGCCAAAGGAGTTGCATGAGAAGAGTGGATTAGGCAACAACTCGGCCATGCAGAGAAACAGGAATCTCTCAATGTCAGCACAATGATTTGTCCTCATGAGATATTTCCACTGTACCTACACTGGAACAAGCAGCAGGCTCCTCTGGGGTGCCTCCCAGCTGGGACATGAACTTGTGGGGCAGGTGTGTTTCATAGTGTTCTCCATACTACTGTCACCAGGAACCTGCTCTTTCATCACAGAGGGTTCCCACGAACTGAAATAACATAACTTCATATTTACAGGACAATATTTAACAGGGATAAAATAGAGTCAGACTTGGCAGAAACATATTCCTGTGCTAAATCTAGAAGGGAACCTTTTTTATTGTAGGCATTCTATTTGCAGATACCACCCAATAAGTACCACCACTGTTTTCTAGTTTCAATCATCAATCACCTCAAGTGAAACATTTTAATCCATTTTTTTAAAAAATGCACACACTGAAAAAACAACACAAGTTAAAGTCTTTTGGAAGAAGAAATCACTTAGCTTTTTCTAAATTTAGTGGAAAATAATGCTTGTTCACCCCTTTTTAAAAATTGTTAGAGCAATTTTAAGGGAGATGGACAAAGGGTAGCCAGGATAATGTATCTGTGCCTTTGTCTGTATTCATGAAAATGTGTCCAAATTCTAAGCTGTACAATTCCATATTACATTGGATAAATTTTCATTAGGATATGCAGATATTAGGGCTAAACCTCAGGTCTGTTAAGCTGTCCAGGTGGATTTTGTTTATATCTTGTATCAGACTTACTGTTGTCTCTTTTGAAAAAACACAACCGTACACTCAAGGACAGGTGTGACAAAAAGCTCCACAGCAGCTGTCTCAGGTTGGAGTATTTGTGCACAATCTGGCCATGGTATCAAGACATTTCCAACAATCTTTAAGCAACCTTCCAGGCAATGCAACCACTTTCCAATGTTAGAGAGAGGCTATTGAGACCCAGAATGTGGACTTCCCAGGTTTTAGATTTTTCTTCCAAACACAAGAGTAGTTTTTCTCCAAGACAACCACAGCAGGTGCAGCTTTTATTTTCCATTTTCTCATGTATCTGTTGAATAAATATTTTGGGGCTGTACAAACAATACCCAGTCCACAAAATAGCTAATCATAACCAATTAAGACTGTATCAGTCAGGAAAGAAGAAAAAAAAAAATAATATCAAAATTACCACATCCTTAAAACCCCTCCTGATCTTCACAGCAGTGACATTTTGATAATGATGATGACTCTGCCTTCACAGACAAAGAGCTCATTATTTTTAAGATACATATTTCCACATCAATTTCTGAAAGGAAATGAACCTTACAAGCAACTATAATTGGAATGCTCTCTTCTGCTGTCTTAATACCCATCAACAAAATATAACAAAGGTAACAGAAAAATCTCTCCACTGAATAATAGAAGACTGCAACTGCCATTTGCTTGATACATACCCTCAATAGAGGTCTGCGAAACATAACAAACAGCCAAATATTCAGTTACATTTACCAGAGATCACCAACTGCCACCCTCTAAAGCACAACCACTCACTTGGCCATCTTTCTAAGAAGTACTGATGTAGTTCACCTTTCCTGATGCATATGTGCCCAAAAATGAAATAAAATGTTAAGCTTTTGGCCTGAGATCATGCTCATGATTGCAACTAAGTATCAAGATGATGGCTTTCAAGTATCCAGTGATGGATTTTCACACCTCCCTTTCTTTTCATTCACACTTTTTCCTTGGCTTCAGTTGACTTTAGGGGTTCCTTGTCTTGATCTACAAGTGTGTAGAGAACTGAAGCAATTCATCCAGCAGTATGAAGCCAGTATTAACCAGACTGAAAGGAGTCTGGTTTTCATTGGACTTGCAATTTTTCTCAATACCTCAGAAATCCATATTCTTCATCTTCCAATAATCAATATATTTCACACTCTAGCGGCTGAGACAGCAGCAGCTGCTTACATAAAGCTATACACTTTCCTGTAAGAAGTTGTGAGGTCCAGGTATAAACACGGTTCTTTATGACTGTGCCACAGCATGACCAAATGAGCATTAATAGTGGCTTTTGAGAATGAAATGAAATGAAAATCAAATGCTTCACTGGGTATAAGGGGGTGCCAGGGCCAGTATGAGCATCCAAACCTATAAAAAACCTGAGAAAATAGGGGCTCTGAATAACCCCACTGCTGGATGAAGCTGATACTAGCCAGATTTTGTGGTACTTGGACTAACAGAAGATTCTTTAGATCTTTCTACATCAAACCATATCAGAAAATCAAAAAGCAACAGCAGAAACTCAGCACATTCAGCATATGAGTCTGCTCCCCACGCACACACAGATTCCTTGGGCAATGTCATTGCACCAACCCAACCAGCCCTGCATACGAGTTTCATCCTGCATGCAACAGTCAACATGTACTGTGACTGCTTGCCTGGAATTTCTGGATTGGTGTACATCTGAAAATCCTGGACAAATTACAAAAGCTGACAGGAAAATACAAGAGGGGAGAAAACAACCCTTAATGGCAACCTGTCACAAAGTGCAGCAGCTCTGATAGAGGTACTTTCACCTTGGCTTTTTTAACAACAGCTGAGCCACCATAAGATTAGGTCACGTCCCATATTCATCCTTGTTTTTTTTTCCTAGCTAACTGTTTAAGTGGCTTTCTCAGGGTAGCTTTGTAAACCAGCTCTCTCTACATTTATGAGACTTCCTTGTGAGATACAGACATTCACTAGCATGCTAGCAGAGGAAGATCTAGGAAAGCTTACTAGATCTACTAAAATTACATACTATTAATAGTATTGTACAATAACATAACTTTTTATATATAGCCCGAAGGCTAAACATATCAAAATGAAGCACAGCTGTTTCAGGGGAACACAGCAGCTCTATTCACTCATCTCAGCACTGATTTCACACACCATGGACTGCCCTGAAGCGTCAGTCTGAGACATTTACCACTGAAACATTAATGGGATGGATGCTCCAGCCAAAAGCAGAAGCAGGAGACAGCCCTGACAAAGTGTGGGTCAAGACTCCCTCGGAGCGGGAGCAGTTAAGGTAGACTTTCATTTCCTATGCCTTATTACTATGTGTTTACATCACCCGCTCCATTACCCTCCACTCCACAGACACCTTCCTACACACAGGCTTCCCCTGAGAAAGCACCGCTGAAGAGCACAAGGCCTGCCCTAGTCCCAAGACCGTAAAACCTCCTGCCTCCTGGAGAAATACAAACACATACGCAGGGAAAAGGCACGTGCATATATACACATGTGCAGGGAAAAGGCCTGCGCTCCGCACTCGCACGGCGGTAACACGCAGCCCGGGATGGGGCCGTGCCCGGGGAGCCCCGCCGGGCTCTGCCCTGCAGCTCCAGCAGAGAGGCGCGGCAGGGCCCTGCCCGCCG